CCGTGGCTGCAGATCTTTACTGCTGAGCTTGCCTGCTTTCATGAGTTGGAACTGGAAAGTGCAACTTTCCTCTTTCTTTCTTTCTATTTCTTTTTCAGATACTGGCAAAAATGCCTCCCCTCTTACTCTGCTGCTCCAGCGTTTCTCTGGAGACCCCACCCCATCTCTGCCTTCTCCACAACAGTTTTCCAGCTTCCAGGCCACATGTGAGAGGCCTGACTTCCCTCCTCTTGGTCTCCCTCCTCTTGGCAGTTTCAGCTCTCTGCCCCATTATTTTTCTCTCAAATGAGCCGCCTCCTGTGAGTAAAGTGATTTTTTTTTCCCCTATCAAAAGTAGTTAAAAGTCAATATTCTGTAAATTTGCCCCACCTGGTAAGATGTTTGTTTTTATAAAAGTCCCCCCACTGAATTTCCTGAACCTAATGGCCTGGAGCAGACACTCCTTTCCCTTTTCCTTCATTCCCTTTGCTCTGATTCTTTTAAAACTCCCAAGTTCAGACCTCAGCCAATGGGGAAACGACAGTCGAAGCTGCTCCAGGGTATATAGGCTAGCTGGTTTGGGGTTTTAGTGCTCCTCCTCCTCCTCTTCATTGTCTTTTTGAGCTACTCTTTTTGCTGTTTGTGTGACACCAAGACCAAGATTATTTTTGTTTCCAACACTTTTGGGTGGATTTTGTTTCTTTTAGCAAGGAGACTAAGAACCTGCATGCATGGTATCTGACCCAGCGGTTCTTTCCTGCTGCTGTGTTCAAAAGACAGTGCAATAAACATTCACTCTCTGGTATCATTGCTTCTTGCCTTTGGTGCTTGCTGGTACTTCTAATGATACAGTTTTTATTTTATGCTGGATATATTTATTGCAGGTATGGGTGCCCTACTGGAGTCAGAACAACTTGTAAGTTTGATCTCAGGAACAACTCTGGAATCGAGGCTTGGTGCCAAGTGCTAGCCACTGTCTACTCCTTTGATTCCTAGGGTTGTCAGCAAGTGAGAGACCTACCTTAAAGTGATTCCTAATGGGTAAATTGTTTGAATAACTTGCCAGGAGTCTCCTGGTGGAGAACACTGAAGTTGCCATGGCTATGTGTCTTTAGTTCAAGGATAGAGAAAAGAACAAAGGGCTGACAGCACTATTGGGGTAGCATCTCTCTTTAAGGAAGAGTTATTTTCAGAAACCTTGAATCTGTGTGACCTGGATGGATAGCAGAGAATCCAAAATCCTTAAGTAAAAATAAAAATTTATTGGTTTTACAATAAGCATTTTTTTCTTGAGTTTTATACATTGAACAAACAAACAAAAAAAAAACTTAAAAAAACAAGACAACCACCGGGTGTTGGTGTCGCAAGCCTTTAATCCCAGCACTCGGGAGGCAGAGGCAGGCAGATCTCCGTGAGTTCGAGGCCAGGATAGGCTCCAAAGCTACACAGAGAAACCCTGTCTCCAAAAACCAAATCAAACAAGACAACCAACCAACCAAAAACAAACAACCAAACCTACAACAGGAAACTTAGGTTTCCTTAGTTTTATACCCAGAGCCAAATTAACCTTGGGCCCCATTTAGTCCCCAGACAAACCATTCATTGTTCACATCCATGGCCTAACATCTTTCAGAGATCATTCAAAACTCTAGGAATATGGCTGGAGCATGGCTCAGCACTTGTGATAACCCAGGTTTGGTTCCCAGCACCCACACTGCAGCTCACAACTGTTGTTGTGCCCAGATTTCAGAACCCCAAAAGAAACCACCAACAAGGAGGCGACTCACTGAATGCAAGGACAAAGGTTTCTTTATTGACTCTAGGATACAAGCTACAGGAAGGACCCCATTCATTCAGGAACAAATAGAATACCCGCTTTGGACTGAGGGGTGTTTTTATAAGGGAAAATTGTAGGGCTGGAAGCCCCAAGCTTACAGAACTTCTGTGTTTACACAGGGCAGGACAAAGATTGTATGCTTCAGGTAAGGTGCAATTAAGCAGGATGCTTCGAGGAAATGAGTTTGTTAATTGTCTCCTGGGCTGGGGACTTTTACAATTGATAACTATCTGATCCTCTTTGGACCAGAGGAATGTAGACACCATTCTAGGGTGTGATATCTGGTCTAAGGGCTTGAGTCCTGTGGACCTTTGTTTAACCTTGTCTGCTGAGCTGCCTTTTGAGAACTCAGAGTTTTCTTTTGGGCTTTGGAGTCTGGATTTTAGACTTTTATTAATTTTCCCCTTTCATTGTAACTCCAGATCCAGGGGCTCTGACATCTCTGGCACCTTCAGGCACCAAGCACTCATGGTGCACGGACCTACATTGCAAACAAAATACCTATACACATAAAATAAGAACAAAGCCCAGACCATTGGAGTGCATTTACAGACCCCTAGCTTCTACCATCCCAAAGCTCAGAATGTTGCCTGGCAGCATTTGAAACCTGTCAAAATTTCACTGTGTTGCTTCAATCTGCCCATCTGTTCTTCCCTCCAAAGGATTTAAATTTCTAGATTTATGACTTTTGCTCTGTGACTGTAAACACTTATGTAACTATTTCTACTCTAGAAAATGTTTTTTTGGAGCAAAGCCTGAACCTGCAAATACCACTGTCACTGGTATTTGGCTCAGAATAAGCAATCTCTGATGCTCTATAGGTGGGAGCTGTACTGTATCTTTTATTCGTTTCGCTACTTCCTTCTTCCTTCCTCTCTCTTTCTCATAGTCTTGACTTGTAGCCCAGGTTGGCTTCAAAGCTACAATTCTATCTCTTCTTCCTGAGCTCAGGGATCACAGGGGGATGCCACTGTGCCTGACCTTTTATTTATTTACGAAGGTGGTGTGAGTTATATTTCCTCTTATGTTCCTTTTGGTTTATTTTTTATTTCTTTAAAGTTTTCCCTTTAATTTCTAATTGTTTTCTGAGGTATTACTTCATTTCTGTGCTTTCTTAGCTCTGGTTGATGGTTTTTTTGTTTTTGTTTTTTTCTTCCCTTTAACTTCAATCATTCTCTGAATTTCTTTAAACTTGTTATGAAATAAGAGGTTAGGGACTAAAGATGTAGTTCAATAATTGAAGTTTCTTACCATGGTCAGTGTACTGGGCACTATCCCCAGAGCCTGTGTGTACATGCACGAATACTGGTTTTTGATGGATGTGTCTTTATGACATGCTTTCATTGTAGGAAAGTTTCACAATCATATTCTCTCTCCCTCTCTCTCTCTCTCTCTCTCTCTCTCTCTCTCTGTGGGTCAACTTCAGTTGCTGTGCCTTAGGCACCATCCACTTTTTAAAAATGAACTTTAGTTATTTCACCACCCCCCATACCCCCTTCCTCCCCTGCTGGCACACTTCTCAACATGCCCCCTCATGCTTCATTTCTTCTTTTTGCATGTTTCATTAGTCACCTGCCTCAGTGTGGGTGGGAGGGTATTCAAGGGCGCAGGCACAGCTTATCTGTGACTTTACCCCCGAGGAAAATAACACCCTCTCCCTCAGCAAATGTTAATTGCCAGTAGTCTCAAGGGCTCCTCCCTCATCTATGGTAAGGTGTGAGCAGTCCAGACTTGTTGTGCAAGTCATAGAAACCACAGCTGCATATCAGAAAAATATTTTTATTTTTATTGCACTTTTTTTTATTGCACTCTACATTTTTTCCCCCCCCAACTTCTGGGATGGTCCCTAAGCTTTGGAGGAAGTGACACAGCTGTTCCATTTGGGTCTAGACACATAGCCATCACTTTTTCTTGATTCTTTGGCCATTTACAGATTTCTGCATTAACTATTTTCTGAAGAGGTAAGAGCCTTCTCTGTTGGAGACTGGGCACAGCACTAAGCTCAGAAGGCAAACCTGAGCTGGTGTGATAGTTCAAGACAGAGGGTCTCACTGGCATGGAATTTGCCAGGAAGCCTAAGCTGGTTGGCCAGCAAACCTTAGGGACAATTCTGTCTCTATCTCCCCAGCTCTGGGCTTACAAGTGTGTGCCACAGTGTTTAGCTTTTTGATGTGGGTTTGGGGGTTTAAATTCAGGTTCTGAGGCTTAGAAATCAGGCACTGTAACAACTGAGCTAACTGCCCTGCTCAAAATATTGGGCACTCTACAAACTGTGTATGTGTGTGTGTGTGTGTGTGTGTGTGTGTGTGTGTGTGTGTGTGTGTGTTGCAGGGGATGGAACCTGAGGTCTGGAACACGGTAGATTAATGTTCTACCATTGAACTGTGGTCTCAACCCCTGGGAACCATTTAAACCATTCTACCTTTATATAGTTTGGAAGACTTAAAAATTTTAAATTATTATTATTATTTATTTTTAAAGGAGCACACATGTCCCATGCTGACCTTTGAGTTTACTGTGTAGCCAAGGATGGCCTGGAACTTCTGACCCTCCTGCCTCCATCTTCTGGGATTACAGAGGTGCTGGGTTTATAGACTTTCCGCAAACACACCTGGCTTTATGTGGTGCTGGGGGTTGAACTCAGGGTGGATGCTAAACAAGTACTCTAGCTGAAGCATGAAGATAATTCTCTTTAAAAATTCCAATATATTTTATTTACTTTGCTAATCTGTTTCTTTAGATTTAAGTATACTGGTAGGAAGAATATTTTTGTAAATGTTGGCAGTATTTTAAGAATTTGTTTTTATCGTTATTATTATTTGCAGTTATGTATATACTTGAGCAGCGGTTCTCAACCTTTCTAATGCTGTGGCCCTTTAATAAAGTTTCTCAAGCTATGCTGACTCCTAATCATAAAATTATTTTCAGTGCTACTTCATAACTGTTATTTTGCTACCATTATGAATCATAATGCACATAGCTGTATTTTCTAATGGTTTTAGGTAACCCCTGTGAAAGGGTCATTCAACCCCCAGGTTGAGAACCACTGACTTAGAGTCAGTTTCTATGATACGAGGGTTATGCCGTCTCACTATGGTCTGCTTTTTAAAAATTAATTTTGAATTTTTATTATTTTATGTATATGGATGTCTTGATTGCATGTATGTATATGGATACAGAAGCCAGAAGAGGGCCCTGGGTTTCCTAGAGCTGGAGTCACAGCCAGTTTTGGGCAACCATGTGGGTGCTGGGAGTTGATCCTGGGTCATTTGCAAGCATAAGTTCTCTAAACCATGGAGCTACCTCTCCAGCCCCTTTTTAACATTCTTGAAGGTTTAGTATGAAGATTTTTTGACAGAAACCATCCTAGACAAGCCATCTTTCATGGAGCCTCGCACTATGTTTTTTAAATATTTGTAACTTTGAAAATAAATGCCACTTTATTACTTAAACTTTCTGTTACAAAGTATCACAGCATAAAATTCCTTTTCAAGTTAAATGTATCATGCCCCATGCTAGGCAGGCCTGCCCTTCAGGTAAAAATGAAGTATTTTGAAAATGTATTTCTGCTTACACCTTTAATTCCAGCATTTGAGAGGCAGAGGCAGGTGGATCTCAGATTTGAGGCCAGCCTGGTCTACAAAGCTAGTTCCAGGACAGCCAAGGCTGCACAGAGTAACCCTATCTCAAAAAAACAAACAACAAAAGTATTTCTTAGGTTACTACAAACAAAACAAAACACTCTAGATATATATGAAAGTAGAAGTCCAGCAAATGCGTGTAGCATCTTCATTTGCTGCTTCAGCTAAGAACTACTGTGGTGGTTTGAAGGAGAAATGTGCCCATAATTCTCAGGTAATTGAACACTTGGCTCCCAGTTGGTGACACTGTGGAGGTCTGGGAAGTAGGGCCTTGTCGGAGGAAGGGTGCCACTAGGGATGGGCTTTGGTGCATGTAGCCTCAAACTCCTTCCAGTTCTCTGTCTCTTGCTTGCCATTGAGGATATGGTGTCTTAGCTTCCTCCTCATTAGCCATTCCTGCCCACCATATTGGACTCTTACCCCCTTGAACCATAGCCATAATAATTTTTTTCTCCCATAAAGTCACCTTGTTCTTTTTTTTTTTTTTTTTTTTTTTTTTTTTTTGTCACAGTAACAGAAAAACAACTAGGACAACTATCAATGCAATGACTTTAAAAAGTCTAGCTTTTCCGGGCATTGGTGGCACATGCCTTTAATCCCAGCACTTGAGAGGCAGAGGCAGGCGGATCTCTGTGAGTTCAAAGCCAGCCTGGTCTCCAGAGCGAGTGCCAGGATAGACTCCAAAGCTACACAGAGAAACCCTGTCTGGAAAAACCAAAAAAGACCCCCCCCAAAAAAAGTCTAGCTTTTCTTTTCTTTTTCTTTTTCTTCAGTATGGGGCTCAATCGAACCCAGGGCCCTGCCCATGGTCCTAAGTGCCCTACTCCAAATAACACAAATTAGTCTTCTTACAGTCCGTTAGATACAGCTCTGTAGGTTAGGAGTCCAATAAATATCCAACAGAACCAAAACTGGTTGTGGGGCACGTGAGTCTCCATGTCCTTGTATTTTCCAGCTGGAGGGGCATTACCTGTGCGCTCCCAGGCCTGTGGCTTTGTATCAGTTACTTTGCTGCTGCTGGATAGAAGACCCTGAGTCAAAGGAACCTAGGGGAGAAAGGTGCTTTTTTTTTGTGTGGGGGGGTTGCTTATGGGTCCATTCCGTCATGGTGTGGAAGGCATGGCAGCAGGATCATGAGGCTGGTCTGGCAGTCAGGAAGCCGACATTTTATCAGCATACAGGAAACACACAGAGAAAACAGGAAGTGGGGACAGGCTATAAAACCTCCAAGCCCTCCTCCAGTGAAATACTTCCTCCATCAAGGCCCCACCTTCTAAAAGGTCCATGACCTTCAAAAACAGCAGCACTGACTGGGAACCAAGTATTCAAACATATGAGCCTATGGGGGTATATCTCATTCAAGCCCTATGGTTCTTACCCTTAGCCCAATCCTGACTGGCCAAATTCGTACCACACCTTAATCTTGTATACATTTGAGGACAGGATATGGGATGGCTTGATGTCTCTCCTCCTGTGGTTGACTGAGACCAGTTGGGCCAGTTGCCAGAGTGGCATCAGATCACCCCACTGTTAAATGTGGTGTCTGTGTTGTTTCTACTTCTCTAAATCCCTCCCCCAAAAGCAAACTACAAAATTTGCTATGAAACCAAACCTCGGAAATCCTGTTATTTGCATGTAAGTGCTTTGTTAAGCTTCTCTGATAGGGAATTTAGGAAAATATGACTGAAAGCAGAGTGTAGTGCACACCTATGATTCTACCATTCCTTTATTATTGAGTTCAAGGCCAGCCTGGACTAAAAAGCAAGGCACTGTACTGCCTCAGTCAAAACAAAAAAACAAACAAACAGAAGCCAAAACCAAAATGATCAAAAAAGCATTCTCTAGCAAGATAATTAATAATTCTCCAAGGTCATTTAGCATCCAGTCTATGTTTATATTTCCCAATTTGTTCACAAATGTTTTAAAAATAAAAAAGCTTGGTTTGGAACCCTAGGATTGTTCTGTGGATAAAGGCCAAGTCTGATGACCCAAGTTTGATCCCTGGTAAGAAGAGAACCACTGGTAAATTGTCCTTTCTTGCACCAACGGTTTACTGTGGTGTGCACAGGTGCACTTGGGCAGGGAAATAAATAAATGTAACAAAAAAGTTTCTTTGTATCAAACCGAATCATCAAAGAAGACCCAAAAACTGCATTTTGCTAACTTGTATCTCAAGTCTCCTTTGGCAGCTCTCCCTCTGACCCTGCCCCCCCCTTTTTTTTCCTGGTGTCCTTTAAAATTTTTATTTACATTGAAAAAAAAAAAAAACTTTTGGAGACAAGGATGCTATATAACTCAGGCTGATGCCGGACCAGGGGTCTGCTGCTTTAGCCTCCCCTGAGACTCTAGAGTATTTCACCTCAAATCTACTTTTAAATAAAAATTGTTTCAAGTCTTCAGGAGCTCTGCTTTCTGGCATCCTGGTGTGTTATCTATCCAGCCGTTCTTTTGGCTCCGTTATTTCTTAAACTCTTTGTTGGCTGGATTTAGTCCCCCTACCTTACTCCCGGATCTCAAAGGCATTCATCAGTATAGATATGCCTTACTTTGGTAATGTTTAAAGTTGCTCACCTAGACAGAGTTGAAAATACTATAGTCTTTTTTTTTAGTAGTGACCATTTACTGCATGCTTAAGGCACCCCAGGCGTATGTTATGAAGCATGGGTTAATGACCCCGGTGCTGTTTTACAGGCTTATTCTAAGAATTATTTAGGATAGTGGATGTGCGCTTACCCAAAGTTGAACATGCTACTTTTTGTTGTTGTTGTTGTTGACACTGAAAAGAAATGGGACCTCACAATAAGCCTTTGGCCAGCTCATTTACACATACCCTCTTCCTTGAGTATTTTTCCAAAGGTCACTTTGCTGGACTGACGACAAAAGACTAAGACACACTCGCTTGAGGCAGGCGGCCGGAAGGACTCTCGCGGCTTCCTGCGTT